GGTATGTGTGTGTGTGTGTGTGAATGTATATTAAAGTAATTTCCTTAATAATATAGGCCTATATTTAATTTACAAATATTTATATTTTTGCAGACATTTTACCTAATCAATCAATCAATCAAATGCATTTATATAGCGCCGGTATCCATTATTAATGTTCAAAGACGCTCGAGAAATTTTGAAATGCTTCCGAGAACCTAAGGAAGACCTAAGAAAGTCTTTGAATATATTATTACGTACACGTCATTACTTGTTATTATATTTGTTTACAGAACGATGTAATCGTATTCTTGAAAAGTGTCCGAGAAAATTACGGTCAGGGCCGGTGTGTGGGTCTGATGGACGAACATACTCGAGTGAATGTAAACTGCTTAAGAAGGCCTGCAAAAAAGGACGAAACTTACAAAAACAACACGACGGAACCTGTGGTGTTAACGATGGTAAATAATTTAGAAGTTGGAAATGTTATATTTAATATTTCTGGTACGAACCAATGCAAATTTGTATATTTCTTATTCAGTGTATTTTCTAAGACTCATACTGTTAAATAATGTTTTACTAACTTGTACCTTCTACTTTGTAGTTCCGGATTTCAAAACATTCACTGGGTATTATACACAGTGGTTCGACGAGATTATCGTACTTATTTTGGTTTTATATATAATTATTTATTTTCGTTGATTAGTTGTCAATGGTTCTATTATTGTTGTCATAGGGCATGTTTCTGGCAAGAAAAAACGTTTTTTTAAAACGGTTTTAAAAAAACGGGGTTTTTTTCTGCTAGTAGAAATGGTACCACTGACAAAAAAACGGTTTTTTCCGATCGAAAAAACGGTTCGAAAAAACGCAATCCATTCCGTGTCCGATAGAAAAAAAAAACGTTTTTTATGGGGAAAATCGTTTTTTTGGGGAGCACTTTTTGGCTGCAACCAATTACCAGTCGCGATTTGACTTCCCGGTGTCAAAATTCCACACGAATTTCCAAAGCAACACAACCGCGCGAAAATGTGGAACGACGAAATTACAAAATTAGTTATAACTTTGTGGGGAGAGGAGAAAGTAGGGGGTAGATTAAAAGGAAGCAAGAGTGATACGCACAGTAAGAAAAGACGAAGAGGAGTTCGGAGTAAAGTTGACAACGGTTCAATTAACCAACAGGCTTAAGCGTTTGCGACGGGCGTACACGCTAGCAAAGGACCATAATGGTAAGTCCGGTAATGACAGGCAAACTTGTCCGTATTATGACATGTTGGACAATACCCCCTATGTGGTGGAAGGCGGGATTCAACACACTGTTGCCGATGGTACGTAAGTCTTGTCGTCATGTTGTAATGTTGCATGAAACTAGGCCATAGCCTAGCACTGTAGCAGGAGGAAGAATACTATACTACATTACCGCCATAGGCCTAGCCCTAGTTCAGGCGGCAGATCGACCGCATTTCCGCCGTACGAACCGCGTTCTGGGATAAAATGACGTCATCGCAACAAAGACCACACATATAGAAAACCGTTTTTCCTGTAGTCAAAAATTGGTTACAACCCAGTTTTTGTTTATAAACACTTTCCGAACCGTTTTTAAAAAAAAACAAAACTTTTTTTTTTTGGCATTCTTCAGCAGAAACATGCCCATACTGTTTTAATTCAGGTCTCAATAAAAAAAGATTAAATCAAATTTATTGGATGTACACTTTTTTAACAGTGGCACACACAATTGAGGTAGCATCAACAATTACAATATCAAAAGATTTACAGAGATAAAATGCACGATCAAAATCATAAGAATACACTATTCAATTGGATTGGATTGGATTTTTTTCGGTGTAAACACCAGGGATAACACAAAAGTCTGCAAAAGGCTTATTTCCTGTCGGGTCCTTCTGGTAGTGATTGAGTGGTACACCGGGAGACAACCCTACAGCGTTCTTTAACGTGCACACAGGACTAACGGATTAACCTCCTCATACGAAAGATTTGAAAATTTTTAGCCCTGAAGTGAATATCCAACAAGGAAAGCATGGATGAGTTTTAAAAAAAAACATTTTTTTATTTTATTTATTTTTTTTTTTATAACGAGTTAATCCATTTTTGTACCAGTATATTATATAATTGATCGGTGAAAACCTGCAGAGCATCCCTGAGTACTGTGTTTTGTTAGGTGCTTCATTTTCTATAATAATATGATCCAAATTATGAAGAAAAGATATAAACGTTTCGCCCCGACATCGAGGTGACGTATTACTAACCTTTTATAACACCCACAATTTTGGGAAATCAGGTAGACAACCTGGGAAACGTTGTGTATGTTTATGACGTTTCATCATTTGGCCTTTACCTAAGAAGCATGCGACAAGCGTACGTCGGTCTTAAACTCCCGACTTCACAATCAGAAGTCTAACACCACGCTGCGCCACACACTCCTACACAATTTCACATCAAAGAGTCTGGTGTTAGACGTGATAGCTTCACCTATGTCGTTGATGAAGAGGATAACAAGATGTGGAACTGGGGCAGTGCCAGAGACACCACTAAGTACTGCTTTTGTGTCTACTAGATACCCGAAGGGGACACTTTGTCGTCTGGCAGTTGAACTTATAAGAGTAAATGTGGTGAAGGAATGATATGGGATGGGTCATGAGCTAAAGATACAAAATATGAAGTCATGCTAGATAAGATCTGTCCTAGAAATACTAGTGAATATCTAACAAGGAAAGCATGGATGAGTTAAAAAAAAAAACAATTTTTTTATTTTATTTATTTTTTTTTTATAACGAGTTAATCCATTTTTGTATCAGTATATATAATGGATTGGTGAAAACCTGCAGAGCATCCCTGCTTCATTTTCTATAATAATATGATCCAAATTATGAAGAAAAGATATAAACGTTCCGCCCTGACATCGAGGTGGCGTATTACTAACCTTTTATAACACCCACAATTTTGGGAAATCAGGTAGACAACCTGGGAAACGTTGTGTATGTTTATGACGTTTCATCATTTGGCCTTTACCTAAGAAGCATGCGACAAGCGTACGTCGGTCTTAAACTCCCGACTTCACAATCAGAAGTCTAACACCACGCTGCGCCACACACTCCATTCATTAGGCCTACATATATAGTTTCATATTGCTGCACTATATACTCCAACATCACTGGTACATGGTAACAACCAACTGACTGCAGACCATTTCCGGTCACACATTACTCTCCATAACACAGCACCCCCTAGTTCCGTCACCTCTGGATTTTGAGGTGTGTATCTTTGTCTGTTACATCTATCACATTTCCCCATTTATCAGACAGGACACGCCTGCTCCTAAAATATTAAAATAAACAAATTCTTACTTTATCAAAAAAAAACCGATATTGATAAACATTTCTCCGTACATCTGTTTTTGTGCTCACAACATTAGATGTTCAGCAAACTGACATACCAACACCACAAATTGTCACTTTTGTCCAAGGTTGGTTAACCAAATGAATTCCAAAGGCCCTGGTCATTTTAAATATTCTATTGCTGCCGTCCTACTTCAAGTTTACTTACTTACTTACTTATCCTCTTCGGGTCCAGTGGCCCATAAGGCTGTAAGGCTCTCTCTCTCTCGTCCCCTGTCTCTGGCCACAGGTTTACCCCCCCCCCCTCTCTCTCTCTCTCTCTCTCTCTCTGTCCACGTCCTTTGTCTCTGGCCACAGTTTCAGCTTCACTCCAGGATGTCCACCCCAGTTTACCCCTCTCTTTTTCCACTGTATGGCGCCATATTGTTTTTGGTCGCCCTACTTTTCTTCTTCCTTCGGGTGCCCATGAAAGTGCAGTGATGCAATGGCTCTCCTTCTTTATTCTTAGCACGCGGGCAATTCATTCCCACCTTTTTATTCTCACTTCTTCACTGATAGGCTTTAGTTTTGTTCTGAGTATTTCTTCATTGAAGATGGTGTATCGCCATCTAATCTGCAGTATTCTTTTTAGACACATAAAATTGAATGTGTAAAAGCTTTTCGTTGTCCCCATCATTTATTTTCCATGTTTCACTTCCGTTAAAAGGAACAGAAACTACCAGAGATTTATAAAGCTTTAGCTTGGGTCTTAATGAGCTTTCTTGAATTCCAGATCTGTTTCAGTTTCATGAATGAGACCTTTTTTGCAGATTCTATTGTGAATATCTTCTGTCCCTCTAACTTCATTACTGATGGTAGCACACAGGTAGGTAAACTTCACTACATCATTCAGCTGCAGATCTTCCAGTTCAATCCTATTGTTTGTTTGTTCTAAGAACTTCTTTTTTCTTGTTATTTATCTTCAAACCAGTCTTCGATGCATATTGATATACCTTTGTCATTTTTATCTACATATGATTAATGGTAGGTGATAAAAAGGCTATATCATCTGCGAAATCAAAATCTTCCAATTTTGACCAGAACTTCCATCTGATCCCCGTATTGATTCTTTTTGTTACATTCTTCATTATCCAACCCACCACGATCAGGGAGATAAAACCTGACATCATATCACCTTGTTTCACTCCTGTTCAAATTTACATTTGGTCACTTAATAATTTGACATTTAATTGTTCTCTTTTCAGTCATCCAATACACTTACAAAGTGAATAGTCCGTATAATAATTACGATTCAAGTGATAGTGAAGAAGATGTATGGCCAGAAATACAAGTCAGATTTGACAGAAAACATGTATTACAAAACGGCACTCCTTCAAATATGAATAATAAAGGTGGCAAAGGAGGAAACAGGCCTATTAGTAATGGTAGAAAACGAGGCAAAGTACGACGAAGAAATAGAAGAAATCGAAGAAAATATGTTCGTTCTTCTGGAGAAAATGTAAGAAATAAAAAATATGACAACGAAAGTACTGAAAGACGGCATAGAAAACCAAGTCACGGTAAAAGGCGTCATACACACAGTAAGTCATAAAAAAATGTTCAGTTTAATTTTAATTCGGCGTGTGTTTAAGCTTATAAGCATGTCACAAAACAATAATAACACATTTTCTTTTTCATTAACTTTCGCAAAAATATTTACCGCTTGGTGCATGGAATCTGTCTATCTGTCTTTATACACCCACAACACTGACTTACAGTATTTACTACTGCCGTCGTCGGCCTGATAGTATGCCATAATAGTCTAATGATATGAACAATAACAATAATATTTTGTTTGTATAATTGTGTAATGTCTTATCTTATTATTTTTATTTTTATACAAAGTACCGCCGTTGATTCCTACGCAACAACATGATCCACCCACCACAAAACCTATTGGAACAACGTTAACTGCAACACAGGTTTTTACTAGTCTAACAGCATCAATAACAACAGTTCCAAGTCCAAACTGTAAAATCTATTGTTCACCGTTTCTTCCTAAGGCACAACTATGTGCCAGTAATGGAAAAACTTATTCTTCGCTTTGCGATCTTGAAAGAGATGCATGTATACAAAAAGATTTATCGATTGCTGTGGAATACGATGGTCCATGTAGACAGGCGGAGGGTCGAGGTAAGTTACTTTGAATTATTTATATATGCGTACAGTACCGGGTGAAACCTATATACCAACAATTAGTATTGGCTAAAAAAAATAGTATGCCGTTTCCTTCTTACTTCCTATGGTGCCCCACCACCTAAAGTTTTTGTCTCTACATAATTATGAATATTCATGAACAAAAACACATGATAAGCATTGCCTTGAAAAAAAATTAAGAAAACTTGAACAATTATAATTTTATGCGTTATACGCCGTGGCAGAGATACGGTACCGTATCGGAACTTCCGATTGCTAAAGGTACGGTATATGATATTACGTCATGATTAGCCAATAGAAATGACCAACTCGATTTTGGCTTTTTTGCAAAGTCGACGTCGCGATCATGGGAAACGTGTGGCGCGAACAGTTACGATCAAATTTATGTCATAATAGGCCCATTTCATGTACTTCGATTGGGGCTTATCACAATGTTTGGGTTAAAAGTCCTTTCTGTTATTCTTGCGCATTTTATGGTCTACCATAGAGAATGGTCTACTTAGGCTTAGGCCTATGTCATAGGCCGAATACCCGCCTAGGGGCGTATGCTTATTTTATAGGCGTACTAGGCTGGGCTTAGGCCTAGTACTGTAGTGCAACTACTAGGGGCCTAGCCTAAGCCTATAGAAGTAGGCACTAGTTATTATTGCTGATTGAAATAGCCAACCAAGCAACATGGCGATTGTAATTATCAGTGAGAGTAAGCTTTATTTGTAGTATAGCCTTCAGTGCGTATACTACAGGGAGCAGGGGTAGCTAAGGCCTAGCTTTTTCTACTATTAAAATAGTTTACTCAGTCACTTGATGTCGCCAAATCTAGCAAAACTGCTATCCTTTTTATCTGCTGTATGGCCTCGGGCTACAGAATATTAATCACAGCTTGTCAACAACACCCGCGAACGAACGAAATTTCTTATCTTCGATCGTTGCTAAAAACCATCTAAAACACACACTCACTACTCTTGCAGCAGCAGTGCACTGAATGACGTTATGCATGTATCGGCGTTTCTATTGGTTAATCATGACGTAATATCATATACCGTACCTTAAGCAATCGGAAGTTCCGATACGGTACCGTATCTCTAGCCACGGTGAATTGTATATATACACATTGAAGTACTATATAAGGCAAAAGTAATATAGATTCATTGTTTACTTCGATACGTAGGGTCCAAGCCCTCTTCTGCCTTTATATTTGTCTAAATCAATAAATAATTGTATTATATTACAGTACACTGTCCTCAATACTGTCCTCTTGTGTTCCAACCTGTTTGTGGTAATAACGGCAAGACATATCCTTCATCTTGTTGGCTGAATGCAGTGAGCTGTAAAGAACCCGGCATCAAACTGTCTGAGGTACACACTGGCAGATGTGAGACAAACATCCAAGTTAAAGGTATTTGAAGTAATAAGAGTTTTATGTTAAAGGTAGTATTTTGTAGAATATTTATTTGGTACGTGCAGTCTGACGTACATGTAAACATCACTTAAAAATAACATTGTTTATTAATTCTCAGATCCAGATAGACCAATATGCAAAAGAACATGTCCAACTGAATTTAAACGTGTCTGCGGAAGTGATGGAATAACGTATGCAAATGAATGTTTACTGAAGTTAGATTCCTGTAAGGATCCAGGACTGACGGTTGTAATGCGAGGACCCTGTCCACCAACAGACAGTAAGATAATTCATTTTAATTGTCTTTTTATTATTCATGTGTTTCAATTTCATACATAATATTTACTTTTCTATAAATAGGACACGGTGTCTTCAAGGTGGTGGTAGCATAAACCTAAAATATTGTAGATAAAATTGTAAAATGTTAATAAAATAATACAACTTATTGAATCAGTACTGTAATTAATATTATCGACAGGATTGTATGAGTTGAATTTAAAATATTTAAGAATATTGAATAGAAATCAATTGACTTTAAAAAAAAAAAGGCTACCACTGGATAAACTATACTTGCATGAATAAGGAATATAGTTTGATTTATTTTTCAATTCAAAAAATACTAAAACTTTATGTAAAAAACAATCAGTTGACTGACGACATTATATTAATATACAATAATTAATTGCACTGATTTTATATAAAATAAGATTCAATTCACTCAAAATACTGGCACTGAATAAGCACCTCCTTAAAAAAATCAAAAAGTAACAAGCATGATTAAAATACTGTAGACCGAAGCCTACTAAAAACTGTACTTCACTTGAAAATTTGCTTTATGTGTACCTGCCTGGGAATTGGTGGTGAACATAGACGTCTGGTGGTAGGGAAAAAAAAATAATAATAATAATAAATTAAAAATCAAATTAGATAAATGTGTGTTTGTTAGCCTACATTAAAAACTCTAATTAATAGGCCTAGTTTAAACCTAGGGCCTATGGTTAAATAGGCCAAGATTTAATAAATGCCTATTCATTGTATGCACATCCATATGCCTGGCCCAAAACTGACCAGACAATGCCCACGCAACGTCCTCAACGATCCGATTCCTGGGCGTGTAGTACAGCGCTATGCCCCCTACAATGCTCAAAACCGGCTGCACTACCGCCAGAAAAGAGGGGTACATTAACCTTCATAGAAAAAACAAAAAAAATTTTAATTTCCTAACTTGTTCTTTAGTAATTAAGTATTACATAAATATAAAGTAAGTTTGAACAAATGATGGATATCATTATCTACCATTTTAGCCAAAAAACCCGAAATTTGGACTAAAAAAACATGAAAATTACATGCTTACCTTCGTCGGCTTTCACAGCGAATTCTATGACGTGTAATTATAAACGATAGGTTCCAGGCTTCTCTCACATGACCAAATTAGGGGTAGGCCATGAATATTCAGTGATATCTTCCAGTTTTCAGTATTACTGGATGATTAAAAACATTGAATATTCAAAGCTGGTGACGTGTTTGGAAGTGGGTTTTAAATATAGCGCGCCCTCTATAGTGTTTTCGTGCCTCAATATCGGACTTTTTGTCCACTATGAAGATACCGTGAGGACCAGTTTACAAGTATTTATGCAAAAGTAAATATACTATAGATGAAAATAAATAATTAACAACTGGGAACAAGACAAGGAGGTCCTTCCTCGTCTCTCATTTTTAACATAATTCTACCGAGATCTTGTGAGTGGCCTTATCAGGTGTGGTGTTATTTGCAATACTACAACCTCAATGTGTTAGGAAATTTCCCTTCTTTTCTCTACAGAGTGTTGCTTTTTGGTAATATGTTGATATCTTGATATGAAATTTCATTTGCGGAATTCTTTCTTAATTTTTATTTTAAATCATGGCAATAAATGTATTGATTTAAGCGCTTTTCTTATTATCAAAACTAGATAGGTATTAAAATAAGCTTATGAAAGCCGCAATCGATGATTCATAAATTTTGTCGGCACACCAATTTTATCCATGTTTTTAATGTACCTTAAACACGAAATGCTTTCAGTTGGACCTTATATCACATATATATTTTTAGTAATAACTCCGCTTCCCGTGCCCTTTATTCGTATGTGTTTAATAATGGACCATCTTATATTATAGGTACTTTGGTTTCTTGTGTTATTATTTAATTTTTGTGCACCTATAATCTTTCCCTGATTAAATCCATGTTTGATGTTAAATATTGTGAACATGTTAGGTTGCCTTTTAAAGATTTGTTTTTTATCGTACGTGATAGTGTTAAATATCTTTTATGTATTTACGATTTTGATAGTAATAATAATTTGTTTTCACCATTTGTAATTATTGCTTTCTGATAGTTTTGATAGGCAATTTTGTATATGTTTGCTTCTCCCTCGTAAGTTTTTATGAAAATATACATATAAATAAATTATAATTTGCTATAATAATAATAATAATAATAATTATTATTATTATTATTATTATTATATTGATTATTATTATTATTCTTATTATTAATATTATTGTTGTTCTCGTTGTTCTAGTGGTTGTTGCTGCTGTTGCTGTTGTCGTCGTCTTCCTCGTAAATGATACTGATGATGATAGTATTTTGTGATATGACTAATTAGAAAAAGCTGATATATTTTAATTGTTATTCTTACAATTCTAATTTTTATTTATTTTTTTTTTATTTCAGGTGATTCTAGAGGTTTAAGAAAACATCAATGAAATAATTTATCTTCAAACTACCTGTATATTATTAGTAGATTTTGCAATATTATTTATTTAGAGCATTGTAGTGGAAAATTAATAAGCCATGGTGACCTTTCCCTTAGCTTATTTAAACACTTCATCTCCGTACAACCTGGTGCAATATATGCACCATTTTTTTAATTGTAAAAAGATCGGTATTATTTATTGTATTTTCTGTATTTTTAGCATTTCACTATGCAATTATAATCCATCGCAAGATAGGCTGGTTGAATGTCAAACTTTATATAATTATATAGACCGTATTCAAATATTTTATGTGGAAAACCAATCAATCAATCAATTGGAGATTTAGTAGGCGCACGTATCTATCATCCATGATATGGAGATACTTGCGGCACCGCTACCTCAAAATGCATGTAATCCCAACCAAAAAAGAATAAAAGGACAAAGAGCGAAGAAGAAAACAAAAAAGAACAAAAAAAAAACAAGATCTAAATTGGAAGTAAGAACTGAAAGGAAAAGTTTTATGTTCAGATTTGAAATGCCCAACCGATACAGAAGTAGGAATTATAAGTGAGATTTCATTCCACCAAGAGGGACCAGCCACAGAAAATGAACAAGTACCCCAAACTGTCTTACAAATAGGGGAAGATATAAGGCACTTATCAGCAGATTTAAGACCTTGCCGCACAGGCTGGTAACAAATAAGTATGTGAGCAAGATATTCGGCAGATTCATGCATGAGTGCTTATAAACAAGGAGCAGAATCTTGCATTTCGACCTCAGATGTAAAGGGCGCCGGACACTGCTAATGATGTCTTTAAATAGCATTCTGTTGTTACAGAAATGATTATTATTACTGTCAAACTATTATGTGTACATAATTAATTCTGTTGTTACAGAAATAATTATGTACAACAAAATTATTACTGTCACACTATTCTGTGTGCATAATTCTGTGGTTACAGAAATAATGTACCACAGAATTATTGCTGTCTTACTAATAATTCTGTGTACATAATTAATTCTGTGTTAACAGAAATAATTATGTACTACAGAATTATTACTTTCTAAATTTCTGTAGTACAGAATAAATTCTGTACTATTTAATTTTGTTTCTGTCACCACAGAATTATTTCTGTTCTCACAGAAATAATTTTGTCCAGAACAGAAATAATTCTGTGCGGACAGAATTATTTCTGTACTGCACATAATTATTTCTGTCCACTCTCTACGCAAATTAGAAGGTGGAGTTTCCATTATATTTTGTCAAAGAAAATTCGATAGTCTGGACAGAGCTTAAGCCTATATATCTTTTTTTGTACCAGAGATAATTGCTAAAATAGATTTTCTAAGTACTGTACTTTGAGTTTTACCTTAAGTTTTTTTTTGTACCATAGATAATTGCTTAAATAATGTTCTCCCAAGTACTTTGTGTTTTACCTTAAGTTGAACAATTATTCGTGTATAACTTTGTTTCAGCAGTTCGTCAAAGGCTGTTAAATATGTTTTTGTATTTGTATGAATCAAATTATGTTGGGTGTATGTTACACAAAATGTTTTACTGCATATAGAAAAGGAAGAGTTCATTCAAGATTGCTTAATTTTTATATTGAAGTGACTCAAATTCATCAATTAAAATATTAAAGTCAAACTTGGGATTACTATATACATTATGGCCGCCAGTCCTCTGAAGATAAATTTATTTGATTTAATTTGTATTTATTTAGCAATCAGATTAAAATCACTACATGAAATCTACTTGTCGCTAATAAAGTAAGAAAAATCTTTAGTTTTAGATAGCTGATTCAATTCATCCTCAATGAACTGAAACATGGTAAGCAATCATGAAACAATAGCAACAATTTTATTGTAGTCGCCAGGGTATACATCACCCACGAGGAACATTTTTTTATTTGTTGAATATCATGAATAATCAATAACCAGCGTTTATATATATAATATACGACAGTATTTCTAGCCGTATTTCCAGATTTATCTGGCCGAACGCCCTCTTGAGGCATAGCATTGTGTAATACAATGTTCCCGACGGGTATTTGGACCTGTTCAACCACGAAGCCTTCGTGGTCTAGTGGTTATGACACTCGCCTTGTCAGCGAGAGGTCGCAGGTTCGAATCCTGTTGGAGGCATTTTATTACACAATGATTTTTCATGGAACTAAATTTGTTGAATAGCCTACGATGTTCAATCATGTCCTTATTAAACACTGTATATGTACCTTTGATGATTTATATATATATATATATATATATATATATATAGGAGTGTGTGTGTGTTGTGTTGCCCTCTGTGATCGACCGAAGTTTTTCAAAAAATCTGGTCGCCTTTTTTTTTTTTATTTTGATCAAATGTGTTCTTTTCACTCAAGTAAAAATTCGAGAAATGCCATTTCCGAAATTAACATTTAAAACATAAAATCTAAAACAGACATGTATTTTTGATAATTTTGAGAACCGAGCGCAGCGACGATGATATATCAACGCAACATTGGAGCTGAGCTGAAGCCACGATTACATTTAGAGATACCTAGGTATTGACAATTAGTGGTTGCTCGAGTCAAAAATCACGCCCTCTACGGCGAATTCTTCAAGCTAGAAAAGTAGAAGAAAGAAAGGTGATGGGTTGCCAGTTTGATGAAACCACTAGGGTACTGGTTAAACGTTACTGAAATTGAAATGTGTAACATCATACTTTTATTTGTTTTGGAATTAGAAAAAAAAATCGAATGTTAAAAAAAAAATACAGCACCATTCCAAATGAATTTATTCAAATAATTTCTTTAAGCAGATTTATTAGTTGTTAAATTTATTTCAATATACTGATTAGTATTTATTCCGTCATTAATTTGAATATTGTTTGTTTGGCAAGCTTGCCACATGCTATTGTGGTGCCTACGAGGTCTTAGGCCTCGTATTTTTATAATAGGGACTGCGGTTTGAGGCCTATTCTATTTCAGATTACTAAGAATAAGAAAAAAAAAATCCGACCAGCCGACCCACAGTCTCGACTTTTAACACTTAAGGGCAACACAACAATTTTTATTTTTATTTATTTTATTTTATTTATTTATTTATTTTTTTTTTTTTTTTTTTGGCCTAGACTAATATAAAAAATTCATTCATTCGTTCGTTTGTTCGTTCGCTCCTCGCTCGCTCGATCGCTCATTCATTCATGCATTCATTCATTCATTCATTCATCATTCATTCATTCATTCATTCATTCATTCATTCATTCATTCTTTCTTTCAAACATTCATCCATTTTAGTAATCCTTAAGTAAGATATGCAGAAGCCGTCACCTGACAAAGTTTGCATTATTATACCGTATAGCCTCATAGCGGATAGTAGAAAAGGGTTACGCAACCGGTTGGTTTCATCATGGACCTATTGGTGCATGGTTACATCACAGTAAAACGTGAGAGGAAATCGATTGATACACCACTGAGCAATTTATACAAGTTTAAGCAATTGAATAAAAGACCCGAGGAGGTGGTCGTACTGAAGTCCTTTGTCTGATTGTTTTCTGTCTTAATTTGTGCGTAGTATACACCCGGTGAGCATGCAGGCATAGTAATACCGTAAAGTATTACAAGGGCATTATTTATCACGTTTTTAATAATATTTTAATTCTAGCAACATATTTAACATGACAATCTAGGCTGGTAGGTAGTAAGGTAGTGGGGTAAGCAGAAGGTGCGGACGCCCTATAATTTCACTTTAATGTAAATCTACAGAACATATTACGGTGAAAATGTGTTATTGCGCGTTCAAAAAGACTTACTGTAAGTCAAGTCTACTGGATTAGAACAATAGGCCCTAATAGATGTGTTGAAAATGATGTTGCTTCCATTAGATATCCCATTTATTTGAGTGAGGCGGAGTTTAATCTAAAACTTATTTAATCTATTTTAGGTCTTTCTAATCTCTACTCAAAAACAACTCCTCTACCTACAAATGTTATAACGCCTACAAATGTAACAACAAAACATTTCAACAAATATGTTTGAACATTAATATATAATTCAGTTAATAGTTAATTCATGTATGTATGTATATATA